TTATAAATACAATAAAATCAGAAGCAACCCCGGTTTTTCTTAATCCTTATCTTACAAATTGTGATTAAAAATCATAACGATAACGTTAAATTTTCCCTTATTTATTTCGGTTTGTATCAGCAAAACTCTAATATGTTTAACTATGGAATACAGGAACACATCCTGTATTTTATGGTCGCTGTAATTCTTTTAATACAGTCAACCCCATACAATCACCTCCCTTATAATCACATCATATAAAAACCTCTCTTTATATCACATTTTTATTTAAAATAATTTACTATTAAAAATATAAAAAAATACCTCCATAAAAGCACAACCACTTTATAAGCACATTTTTTAAAAAAGTTCTCAAGTAAAAAAAATGTGTGATTATATGGGAGGTTTACTGTATTTTTAACACCAATACAATAACTATTTAGCGTAGAAACTCTTTCTAAAATAATATTCTTCATTGCTCTAATAATATTTCTGGGTATAATTTTTTCATATGCATTTTCTTGTGTGACAAAAAGTTACGACACAACAGCTGTAATTGTAGCATGTGCTATTTGAATAGTAATAGATGTAATGATAGTAGGACTAATTTCAAAGAAAGAATTTTCGAACATTGTAATGACATTTTTCTTTTTAATAGGTTTAATTTACATCTTTGTTTTTATATACCTAATTGATATTTTTGCCAGGTCTATTTTCGATGTTAAAATTCATGTTTTATCTTTAAATGTTATTTTAGGAATATTAACAGGTGTAATAATGATAGCAAGAGTATTCATATTTTCAAGTTATTATCAAAATAAGGCAAAAGTCATCATAACTATAATGTTAATTTTAGGTGGAATAGATTATTACATATTGCCAGAAAAAGTACTTTGAGCACAGTAGATAATACTTTCAATCTTGTCTTTACGAAGTTTCTAGTGTTTCCAACCATAGGGCGAATTTAGCGCATGGATAATACTATTTTGGGTCACATTTTTTTGATTTGTTGAGCATGTCATTCTTCAAAAGTTAGTAATCGAACGGAAAAATATGAATTCAAAATATCTATAATGTAATGCTAGTAGGGAACACCTAATTCAAAAGATATATATATACGCACATACGCATATACACATATATTGTTGCAAGTACTAACAGTCAAGATATGCACACCCAAAAAAGCGTAGGATTAGGCTAGAAAGTTTTCAAGGTGATCGTTTTATCATTTATAGTTGTGCTTTTTGGGATGAACTTTAGTATAAGTGAACAAATATAATAGAACAGGGTGAAACCTGAGTTACCAGCTAGTAAAATTCGCTATGTAGAGTAAAATCTAAGTTTGAGTTAGAGTTAAGGGTGAAATCCGAGTTTTGCTATGTTTTTTATTATACAAAAGCAGATTTCAACCCTCATGTGATCTACATAGCAGATTTCACTCTACATAGCGAATTTTACTAGCTAGTAACTCAGATTTCACCTTGTCGTAATATAATTATTGTCACGGCTGATGAACTACCCCAGTATCGCCAGAGAAAAAAACGGACACGTGACTAAAATTTTGATTATCATTATACGTTTATACATCGATATATTTATATACATATACGTGTAATAGCAAAAGCATTAATATTTTGTATTTATAATTCTATTTGAACTACATGCTACAAATTTCCAAGTTACATATTTAAAATTATACATATTTTTTAAAACTAAACTAAATTATAGTCTAATTTTGGAGCAATGCTTTGTACAGAATAAAGTCAAGATTTTATACTTTAAAAATTATTGAAATCTGGATTTTTATAGATTATTGTGACACATATATAGTTTTAGCCCCGTTAGTAAACTTCTCAATAGCTTCACAATTTCATTATTATTATCGTTTAATGCAATTTGTATTTTTGCTTGAAATGGATTGTCATCTTGTATTTATAATAAATAACAGATATTACTATTATGATCTTTCCAGGTTAGCGGCATTGTTCTTCTTCTTTGATACTCTTTAACATCCACAACAAACTTTAAAAGAGGATCAAAATTTTTTTTTATAGCCTTTTCTAATTTTTTATTTCCAACTAATTTTTGTTGTTCTAAAATAGCAAGTGCTTTTTTGGATATATTAATTAAATTGTCAAGAGAATTAAGAGAATTTTTATTTTCATTTGAAGAATTGTCAAGTTCATTAATAATTTCATTATTATTATTCATTAAACTATCATTTGGATTAATTGTCAAGTTAGACATTACTGCTTGATCTTGAATTAAAAAAGGAGGATATCCGATTCTTTTAACTTGATTAAAAAATATTGGTGAAATATCTCCTTTCATATGAATTAAATATTTGCAAATATTAAATCAACTAGTTAAATAATAATAGCACTTGCAAACCTATTTCTCTAAGTCAGTCATATAAAAATTCTTTGCTGGTTTAGAAGATAGTTTTTTCTACTTAGATTTGAAGCTTTTAATCCATTCAGGTTTTTCAATTCCATAATAAAGTTGTTGTACTGTAAATTCTCGAAATAACGGGCATCTGCGTGTTATTTTGAATATGTGTATGTTATTTTGAGTATGCGTATGGGCATTATTTTGAAACAAATATAAAATTATATATATATTTTTATATAAAAAGCGAATAAATAAAAATACTCTGAAACTAGGTTTGGTGCTAAGTAAATCTACTTTCAGGCTTTAATTAAAGTTCATTAAACATGGCACAGTATATCATCCACAATGGCTCTTCGAAGTTTTACAATATTTGTTTATCTTTGTTTACATAAGTTGCAAAACTTTGGGGAGCTATTGTGGACGATATACTGAATCATTCTTGATAAACTTAATACTATTAGAACTATCTCGATCTGAAGAACAACTTTTGTTAAAGCTCAAAAATAGATTTACATAGTACTAAACCTAGTTCTAGAGCATTTTCTAAATTTTACTACCCTTTACTATTAGATGTGTATTATTTCGGGACACGCATGGGCGTTATTTCAAAACCGCCTATACTATTTTTAGAAGACACAATTTTTGAATTAACGCCTCTGCCTGTTATTTCAAGAATTTACAGTAATTTATGATTTTGATGTACAATTACTTTTCCATTAAGATATACACAACAAGATCTATTCTTGGGTGAAAAAATTTATATAAAAAGTCCCTTTTAATCATTTTCTAATAGCCTTCAATTATTATTGTAGTTTTTAGTACTGAAATTTTATTTTCATATGAAGATCATACTCACAATACCCATTTTGAATCTATATATCATTCTGTCTACAAATATATCCAAAGTGAAATTAAAGAATTATTTTTGCAAAATAAATACATTTCTTGAATAGCTATTTCATAAATGGTTTCTTTTGTATAAAATTTACTATCCTTTGTTAGAATAAATAAATATTGGTGTAAATGCTTTTCTATAATATCTAATACTGTATTTCAAAGATCTTTTGAACAAAATTATGCAGTTTGCTGAACTTTATTAAAGTTGTTCAAATTCTGAAAGAGAATTATATGTTGAAGATCTTGTTGATTTATTACTAATAAGTCTAGTGCTAATTGCTCTCTTAACATGCCATTTGTATAATTGTATTTTGCAATTAGACTAAGTAAACTGAGCTGTATTAATCTGTGTATAATCCTTATCAGTTAAAAAAAAAGATAACTGCAACCCTTTATATTTAAAAATCATAAGGAATTTTTGTAAAATTCCTGTTCGAACTCTATCTTTATATTGTTTATTATTCTCAATAAATAAATACATAAGAGGAAACCCAGTACTATTTACTTCTGTATACAAATTATATAATTCAAATAATATATTGTTCATATTATTTAAATATATATAATAAAAATTTTACTTTATTATTGTATATATAAAATATAAATTAATACAGTATGTAATACATACAGGTGGTGTCAATTCTACATTCATTAATTATATTGTCTAATTCTAACAATTTGCTAAACATTTCAGTATCAAAATCAAGAGCCTAAGCAGGTTTGTTTTCTTGCATATTATATTAAAACACTTTTCATGTAACCAAATAATAGATGATTAAAATGTATTTTCATGTTGTTTATAACAATTTTACCCAACTGAGTTTACCAAAAATGTATCTGTTTTTGATAGATAGATATGTTGATTCTATTATTAATAAGGTGAGAATATATTTCTCTTGGCAAAAGATCAATGTTATTTTTGATATATTCTTTAATATTTTCAGGAACAGACACTTTTTTAGATAGTTTATATAACTTATGATTCATCATTATTTCAACTAGCTGTGCACTTTTATTAATTACTACTTTAAATATACCATTATATCTAAATCGATCTATAGGCAATCTATCTCTTTGCTTTGCAATATCTAAATTCTTTTTTGGCTTTTCTGCTAAAATATCTCTTTGTAAGCAATAGTACGTATATGATATTATATTTTTTCTATTATAACAATAGTAGTAGCTATTAAAATAAATTATATTATAAACTTTAATTATATATCTATAAATTAAAATATAAAAACTTATATCCAATGATATTAATCTGTATTTTTGATTTGTTCAACTATTTTATTTGAAATTTCTTTCAATAAATCATTATAAATTTTAACCTCTACTCTATATTTAAAATTTATTTCAAATAGATCATTAAAATTCTCTAAATTTGCATTATTAATTAAAATTTTAAGATTTTCAAGCAATATTTCTATATTTATAATTTGTAAAGTTTCATTTGTATTTAAAACTTTATTTTCTTGATTTTTTATTGTATTATACTTTCTTTTTCAATATTTAGTATATTTTTTATAGCAACTGTTACATGTACTATATGTATGATTTATACCTCTTGCATCACAAAGCCTGAATTCATTATGAGATTTAAAGGTTTTGTAACCAGAACAATAAGAAAGTGTTGAAGGAGATTCTATTGTAATTAAAAGTATAAATCGAATTATTATTAAAAGACTACTTAAAAGACTACTGCTTATTACAGTATGATACAATAAGACTTATATGATTCATATTACATATTTTTGAGTATGTATATATTGATGATGTATAACAATTTTTGATCAATTTAATCATGTACTCGTTTTTTGCCCTGAAATACTAAAAAAGATTGGCTGATGCTAAATATCACATAAAAATTTAGGCCAAAAATTGCAGATCGTATATCAATCATGAAATTTAAAACAAATATCTCTTTGTCAAAAATCTTCATAAAAGACAACACTTTGTATACTAGTGTTCCTATGAACTGAACTGAACTGAACTTTTGGCCAAGTTCAAGTTCAGTTCAAAATTGAACTAAACTTGAA